ATTTTTTTTGTTGCAGTATGATACCTAAATCTCATCAATAATCAATGCAAATTCTAGGAAGTTTTTGTCATACGATAGAGACTACTTAGATCTACCATCGATAAAGAAATTTATCGATTTTCCTGTAGAACGATCTGAATTATTCAAAAGAGCTTAACACTTCAAATTTTCATGATAAAATTTCCTCTTCTTTCTAACTTATGAATAGTGCAAAAACAGTTTTACTCTTAAACCGTAACGTTAGTCAATAAGTTTCTTTTTAGACATCTATCTGAGAAAAAACGAGGTTTATACAATGTGTCGGTTAAATTTCTCAGAGTTTGCATTCGCAACATTTTTAATAATCTTATCATAGAACAGTATCGATTGTAAAAACAGCTGTTTTCATTTTTATGATTTCAAAGCTTTCTCGTGTCAGGTAGTTGAGTATACCGATAAAAGGCTGAGCCAGTAACAATGAATTAACGGTAAGCAGGAAATAAGTCAACAATGATGGACAATAGTGTTTTATCATTAACTGTTATGTAGAGAAACTCGTTTGATGCATTAATTTCATCAGTACTCTATCAATGCACATGTAGATGGAATGCTAGCATTGTGAGAAGAAAATTGACATATTGAGACCAATAGAGAGTGTCATGTATTTAATATTCTGAATGGAATTTCTGATTTCAAAACTGATTTTCAACGGAAAGAAAAATACTACACATATGCTTTCTCAATACTGAGTGTGAATGGCCTATGATCAATCCACATTTTCTCCTGTGAAATCTTGCTTGTATAAATTATAATACAATTTATTTCAATAATTATCAGTGTCTTTTTTTAATTTTCGACAATGTTGCCAGCAGTCAGAGAAATTTTACATATTACTATCCAACATTTGATAAAGCGGATTAAAACAAAATATTTATATCTCTTTCATCTTCATTATCCCATCGTAGCATTTGTTATTATACTGGTATGATGGACGAATGTCAGCTGAGAATTAATATGGAAAATAGATCCAAGAAAAGTGATCGATATAAAATGTATCACAATTATACCAATAATTTTAAGACCAATGCCTGCTTTGATCAAATCCATAATTCTTACATGGCCACTGGAAAATATCATGGTATTCGGTGGAGTAGCTAGAGACAATGATTTGTTGTTGACTCGAACAAAAATGAATATGAAAAACTTACCAATTGGTAACATGAATGAGAGCGAAACAGCCATACACGATGGCATAATAAGATAAGCTGGATGAATTTGAACTGTACGAGACTTAAAAAGGAAAAAAATAAGACCGAATAAAAGACAAACAGCAAGTAAAATTTCTTACAATACTATCAAGAATAGGAAATAATATGCTAGCACATGCAATATTGCTTGTAAATTCAGTGAAAATAGCACTGATAATGATGACAACAAGAATGATGAGTTCTTTAGGTGCTCTAACAATAAATTGAAGAAGACCGACAATAGTTGTCGATAGATTCGATGCCTAGAAAATCAAATATATGTAACAAAAATATGCTTCATATGAAAATAAACCTGAAATCCATCGGCAATAGCTAATCCTGCACCTTGCAACATAAATACACCCCATGGAAATGATTTCGACAGTTGATCCCATTGAAGAATCGGGTTATATTTCCAATTTTCTAATCAAGAAAAATATTTTTCTACCTTAGAATGAGTTTTTAAATACTCTGAAATGGATTTTGGTCCGGTAAAATCAATGGTAATGAACCGATGAGTAGAGCCGTTGTTCCATCTGTAACATAACTTAAACGAAAACAACAATCGTTTTTTCAACGAAAATTCGAACTTACTTTTCCCGAAATATAATTTCCCATCCACGACTATTTGAAAAGTCACGTGTCACCCATAGAACGACGAGGACAATGAAAAGAATAGTAACAATGCGTTCACGCCAGCTGTATGGGCCTAACTCATCGTATTGCTTTTTGAGGATCATTTTCAAATGTTTCTCAGAATTTTGTCTAGTCAAAGTGGTCTTCCACTGAAGGAGTCTATAAGTATACGCATGTAGATAAGAATAATAAAAACGAGTATGATTCAGCTGTGGTATAATTGTAAACTTACTCTTTGCGATTGTATAAGATTTGTAGCCATAACCAACAGATTAGAAGCATAATCACACCAATGGGTGCACCGAACAAGAAAAAGTTAGCAAATGAAACTTTCAAAGCGTAACTTCTAGATGCGTAGTATCTAGATTAATTAGTAGAAATAAGTATAAAAATAGAAAATTTCTAACCCAATACAGTACTCACTGATCAACAAATCCTTTGGTAAATATATTTGTACCAGTTCCGACTAGTGTCATCAGACCGCCCATAGCAGAACTATAAGCCACAGAAATAAGAAAGCCTTCAAATAGATGACAATATAGATAATGTATGGATTTAATTCAACAGATTTATTTAGTTGATTTCGTACCGCTCTTGAGTTGTCGATAGTCGAGTTGAGTTATAGATAAATGATTATCTGTCGTATTGAAATCAACTGTTGTTTGGTTGTTTAATGGTGTAAGTCTATGAGTACATAATAATATATTAACTGTAATCGATAAGATCCATCCACTCTAGATCAATTTGATTGCTACCAGAGGAGTGGATGAAAGTATATAGCCCACATGTTGATGCTACATAGTCATCCTCATTCATCTATTCACTCCGTAAAATTTTTACTATTGAGAAGCGATATAAAAGAGATTGAGAAATTCATATCTCGAACATGCAAAAGTTCAAATGAGTCATGCAGAGAAAATGCAACAAAAATTTATCATTGCACTTTTATTGAACTTATTTGTTGATAATTTTTTTTTGTTTTTAAAGGAACTTAGATTAGAACTCGAAAACTCACTCAATCATTAACTCATTGGGATTTATATCAACATTATCCTGTGAAGATGACTGCTCTGCTTTTTCTTCAATGACCGTTGACTTGAAATCAAGGGCTACTAAAAATTGAATAGAACAATTATTTTAATCATAATTTAAAATCAAGGTCTTTTCTTACCTGGTGTTTGCTGTTGTTGCTGAATTTGTTTTTGATAATTTTCAAGTTCATCAATAATAGCAATGGCTGCTGGTATCATGATACTTGTAGCGGCCGAATTATTGATCCACATACTTAAGAAAGCTGTGACACCCATCAATCCTGCCATACTCCTGTTTGAAAGGATAGAGCTTTTGCTATATATATGTATAAAACAATAGGTTACTGACCATTTAGTCGATGAACCAACAATACTGAGTACGCGAAAAGCTAATCGTCGATGAAGATGAACATGTTCCATTGCATAAGCTAGTATCATACTACCAACCAATAACGTTGTAATATCCTAAAGATACATTATCAATATTTTCTGTTAAAATAAACGGCAAGAAAATCATTCATTCACTTTAAAATAGTTCTGGCAGATTATTTCACCTGGTAGGATGCCTGCCATAGGAAAGAATGCGAGTGGAAATAATGAAGTAACTGCATAGGGCATTGCTTCGGTCACCCAATAGACTGTGAGAAGCAGCACGATGTAAGCACATTTTGCTTGCTATAGAAAAAAACAACAATACATATATACAATTTTGTCTACTAAATTATACGTGTATAGTTCTTACAATAGTTCTGAAGATTAGAGGAAGTGGAAGAAGTATGAATGGAGTGAGCACAATGATCAACACACGCCACCAACATTTGAGCTTAGGAAGCATTTTTCTACGAAAAAATTATCGTTATGAGCATATATATATATATAAATAAAGATGTCTTTTTTTTTTCTTTAGTATACAATGTGACTGGCCACGTTTTGTTTTTTGATACATCATTTATACGGAGCATGATCGATAGTATATCGATGAGTCACTAGTTGACAGTGCCTCTTGCTCTACTCGTAATGATTATGTTTATTCATATAACGTAAATTCAAGGCAACGTCGTATTCTAATTGTATGAAGTTATTTAATAGCTATGTAATGGGACAAGTTGAATCAGTAAATCTAAGTAGCAATGATATAATCATGTGTATTAAATTATACTTCAATTTTTGAATGCACACAAAAAGTACTCGGTCACACACTTAAGAGAGAAAGAGAAAAAAGTGCATATATTTACATATATAGAAACACAATGATGATAAAATGTGATATACACGCAGTATATTACAGGTGAAGCGTCGTCATTGCCACGTTCGAGAAATCGCTTGAATAAATCAACTAGGAGTGATCAATTTACATTTACGAAAATTTATTCGATGAAATGCTTTTGCCGTAAAACAGTTGCATTTTCTTACAATTGCGTTGCACTATGCCATATTTTTCGTTTTGTTGATAATTTATAAAGAATTCGATTTGAATTAGTATATATCAGTACAAATTGATAATTCATTGATAGAATGTTTCAATTTTTTTCTTTTGATGATGTTATGGAAAATTGATATTCACAAACAGAATTCTCTTCTACTATAGTACATTGTTTAGTCAGTGTCTCATATTATCTACCTTACCATTTCAAACAAGTCCGTATCCTAAAATAATGTGAAAGAAAAGTTAAAAAATTAAACGTAAGAAAAATTCAATTTCACTTAAATTTTTGTCGTTGACTGTAAGGTGTAAAGGTAGATGGTATATTTTTCCTATTGGTGTCAAAAATCTACTTATTTATTAAACAGTAAATAAATGGTAATGAATCGAAAATAGAACACAATTCATTCAAATCCTGTCAGATTCAAGGTTATTGGATTTTGTTCAGACTTTTTTGTTACTTTAGATATAAAAACAACATTTTAGTTTATAGTTTGTCTGAGAAGAACTTCATTTAATGCTGTGGTTTTTGGACAACAGCTATATTTTAATAAAATTTTTCTTTTGTCAATAGAAAAGTGTTCAAATAATTATTTAGGTGGATGAAATAATTGCAAATAAATGAAAAAAATATGGTCATAAACAACAACGAACAAAAAAGAAAATTTCTGGAAAAAAATTATTATGGATGAAGCTGATAAAAGATTTAATCTAAAAAAAGAAAAATCTATTTTTCATATGCGCATAGATATTGACGACGAAGAGGAAGAAGAAGAAGAAGAAGAAGAAGATGTGCCTGAAGAAGGTTTTGTCGCACAAACAAATATTCATGATACAACAGCAGTTGTTATTTATCAAGCTGAACGATCAAAATTTTCTATAGTTGACAAGTTTGTTTAGTTTTTCTTTTAAATAAATGATATTTATATGTTTTTTTTTGTAAAGTGAAATGGATTCAATTGAACAATATGTACACGAACGTTATGGTCGAAATATTGAAATACTAGCTGATGATGAAGAACAAATTTCATATGAAATAACTCAACAAAGTTTATTACCTGATGTTAAATCATCTATTCTTTGACCAGTTAAATGTCGAATTGGAGAAGAAAAACAAATAGCTTTATTACTTATGAGAAAATATCTTGCTTTAGAAAACTTTCATATAAAAGCATTACAGATAAAATCAAATTATGTTAAAGCAGCATGTGAAGATATTCGATCATTAAATGTTCAAAAAATCTTCCAATGGTACCAATAAGTACAAATGAATGATATTCTTTGTATTGTTAAAACAACATCTCAAATAAAGAACGGTTCATGGGTTCGTGTTGAACATGGAATTTATCCAGATGATTTAGCTAAAGTTGAATATTGTGATATGATACAAAATATGGTTACATTTAAATTAATACCACGAATTGATTATACAAAAAAAAACGTGAAACATCAAATGATCAAAATGATATTGTATCTGAATCACATCAAATATTGAAGAAAAAGAATCATTTTGCTTTTAAAAGATCATCAGCAAAATTATTTGATAAAAAAAACGATCGAATAAGACGAAAAGAAGATTTGAATATAAGACAATTTTTTATTTTTAGAGCTGCAAGTGGACGAGCTAAAAGAGATAATGAATACAAAAAAAAAATAATAACTATGAATAATTTATCTGAAGATGAATAAACAAAAAAAAAACCTGTTGTCTAATTAGAAGATAGCTACCTTCTTTCTCTTTGCTCACATTTTCTTTGTAACTAACAATTTAGAATGTAGCACTATCTACTGATGGTAGTTATGTTTTATCATCTGCTTTTTCGTTAAAAAAAACATTGTCATATTATTCTACCTAACGTATATGTCGTTTATTAAAACATGAAAAATCTATATGATACTACTGATAACGAGATATCATTAACTACTGTGTCATTTAGATCTATGGTCGATTTATTAGCTAAGTTTAGCAACGAAACTGATTATTTTGAAAGAACTTCTAGTTGAAAAATTGTAGAAATTCATAGATTCATACGATCAAAAACATAAGTTGGTTTGTTCGAAAAAAGTCGCCTATTGGCGGCTCCGAACTAGACTTATTTAATTAATAGCCTACGTAACCAAATAATCGATGAAAATATTTCAAAAACAAAAGCATTTTTGCCATTCAAATGCTGTCACCATCGAAAAGATAAATTTATTCAATGAGAATACTGCATAAATACATTTGATGGTAGACGAATAAATATATGACTAACAGTGAAACAAACAATTTTAATTTCGCTTTGTTGTAAAATATAGATCTGTCTTTTTAACATTAATCTTAAACAGAGTCAGGAGATTTTAATAATGAGAACTCGGGAACACAATGATGAACGATTTTTCTTGATAAAAATATGTTCTAAAGCATCTGTATTTTTATATTTTTAAAATTCCAACTCCTTTAATGTCAAAATTTCGAGATGGAAAATCTTTACACCGAACTTAACTTTTGATGGTTGACTAATTTTGCGTGACCATACTCAATACATTCAGCATGATTCGAGACCCATATTGTACTATGAGAAAACGTGAATTCAAAATTTAGAGATGAGATTTTGATGACGATTGAAAATTTGTCTATTGGAAATTTTCGGCAGTGGGAGTCTCCTCGACATCGCACTCACAATCGAGAGTGGCAAATTTCTGACAAACAGAATTTAAGGATTCTGTATTGTATATAAATTAATCATAATACACGTATAGATTGTCTTCCTATTATAATAATTCTTATGATACCATAGTAATACATGACTTATTCTATAATGAATTCCGCTCATGACAGCAGAATTGTAATGAATCATATACACATATTCCTCTATTTAATACAAATTGAATATTAGATTTCATTTCATTTGAAAAAGGCTATTTTCAAGATGATTTCGTAGCATTTTTTTGAATAGTTCTATAGTGAAAACTTGATTTACAATTGTGTTTAATAATTTGTATGAATTCATTTTTCATATGAGACACCGATGTTTGTTATTCATGTAAACATGTTCAGTTCATTTTATTACAAGACTTATATATTTCATTTTTAAGATTTGATTCAAATCAATTGCTATAATTTCTTGTTCATTATTACACATTGAAATAGAGCAATCAAGAATTTGTATATATATCCGTAAATTTTTACATTATGAATATGTTGATGTTTATCAAGAAGAACAATATAATGATTGAAATAATATTGATGTTTTATATAGAGAAGCAAATATGAATTTGTACGATGCCATTATTTCTCATAAAAAATAACTTGGTTATTTGAACACTGTTAACCTTGTTCATGAACAACTTAAATTATTATGTTGTTTTTCATGTAAAATATGGATATTGTTCAAATTCATTTTTTCTTCTGTATATGAAACATTATGCCTAACCGTGACATGACAAAGGAAGAATAAAAATAAATGATGATAATTTGCTCTCTATTGTTTTATCATTTATATTTTGTCTACAGTTAAATACAAGATTAACAATCGAACAAATAAAAATAGTTTCTTTTTTTTAATAATAAAATCCCAGCTGTTACTCGAGGTGTGAGTGTGGATAGAAACGATGGAACGCGCGCACACTCACACCCTGGTTTTATTCAGAATTGAATTTTCCATCGAATGATATATAAAGGGGGGAGAGGGGGGGGGGGTCAGAACGTTTTTAATATTCTTCGGCAAATGGGTGGTTGGTACCCTTTCCCTGAGCCCAAAAATGCTTACATTGCGTAGTATTGAAGTTAGGGAAAAATTGAACTGATCAGGATGAAATTTTGAGGGATGACTACTATCGCTGTGGCAAAAATTCGCTGAAAGTGTCATGTGAATCTATCTTCACTTTGTTATTGGACCGAAATCTCCCTAACACGTCGGTCGTCCTTTCGACAAGATTTTATATCCATGATGATAAAATCTTCTATCAAGTTTTTATTTAAAATATCTTTGTTCTACTATATGATATTCAAGAAGACTTTCGTCAATACTGATTATAGCGTTAATTAAATCATATGAAAATGTAACATATCGTAAAGAATTAATTGAACAAATCGATGAAAAAACTCAAAATGATATAATGAAAGTATCAAACGAATTTTTTCTTTTACTACTCTTAATACAACAAGAAATTGTTGGTTCAAAAGATTATTCATATCATTATAACGGTTTAAATGATGAAAATTTATCACATGGATATGATGAATTATCTTCATCATTTTTATTACCAGATTTAAAAGAAAGTTTTTCTATTGGACCTGAACATGAAGAAAAAATACGTTAACTAACAAAACATTTGAAAATGCCTTTGATTTGGTTAAATTATTATCAACAATGTCACAATTTATCTAAGCATTTATAGAAATTATTCATATTAGCATTAAAATTAGGTGAACGTTGGTTTGATAAGTTCAAGATTTACAAGTACAAGATCGTTTAGATGAAAAATGGATTAATGTTCCTTTTTTTGAAAATAGTTTTGTTATTACTAATGATTGTTAGACATCAAGACCTTATCATGTTATTGCATCTTCAAATATAACAATAAAAGGTTTATATCCATCTCGTTCAAGTATTACTTTTTTGGTCAAATAAATCCAAATGAAATGGTTACATGTATATCAACATGTTCTTTAAAATATAAATCATCTGAGTATTCATCTATGAAATGATAGGATTATATATGATCATTTAAATATTTAACAAAATTCTAAAATCGTTAAAGCGAAGTTTATGTTAATTTTACGTTCAATCGACTTTTTATTAAAAGACAAAGTGTATAAATACTGACTATAGACAAAAATACGAATGGCATTGATTTCCATTTTTGAAAAGACATACAAAGGGTGTAGCATAAGCTCTGATTCCCTTCTGCAATATTTTTTTCTTACATATTTCTAAAGTCGAAGAGACGGATATTTACAGTATATATACTAGATCTACTCTATGTTAGAATTTTAGCTTTCTACTTCGTATTATTATCGAGATACAAACACTTCCAAAATAATAAGAATTTTTGAATTATAATTGAAACAATTATGGATGAGAAAAGTGTATTCGTTTCGAGTAATTTTTGCTCTACTACATATAACTCTTGCACTCTGTTGTTTTTCATCGCCGTTATGAATAGGAAAAAAATATATATGATCTATTTTTTCTGTTGATCGTAACGTTCAAAAACAACAGTATGTATAAATGAATTATATGGAGAGACAAACACGATGCTTATATTGACTGAGGAAGTTGGTAGGTAATTATTTGGCCAAATAAAAATGTATGGGGGTGCAATTAAAGAAAAACAGAAAGAGAACGACAATTCGATAATGAATTCGAATTGGAAAATCAAGTAGTACAACAATAAAGAACATTTACTGTCGGAAAATGATGGAAACAATATCTGATCGACTGAAGCTAGTGATAGATCAACATGGGGAACGACTACATAATCATTGTTCAATATTTTTTGTTGAATATTTGAAAGATACTTCGATTTGTAAATCTATTGTCGAGCACTATTTTTTATGTAACATTATAATCAAGTGTTAAAAATATACTCAGGTAAATTTATATCTAAAAATATTTCGATTTGTTTTTGATTTTGGTAATGCTTGTATCTCGATAACAATAAGAAGTAGAAAGCTGAAATACCAGCATATAGTAGATCTAGTATATATACTGTAAATATCAGTCTCGTTGACTTTAGGAACATGTAAGAAAAAATATTACAGAAGGAAATCAGAACTTATGCTACATCCTTTATTGAATTAATTATTTTTAAAATCATTTATTTCAAATCTCTCTCTCTCTCTCTATAGGCGCTGTAAATTCGACAATAAGCTAGTAAAAGATAAACAAATTTTCTTGAATATATGAGAAGTCATCAAAAATAAAGTAAATAGAACCATCACTGGAAATAATTTCGATCAGTTCTCTTAATATTGTTCGCGTACTTCCACTATTGCTCCACATTGATGGCAAACGACAGTTCTTAAGGCATTATCAGAATGCACTGGTTTCATTTGGGAATTGATTGAGTGTGGGTGGTTTATTTTTGGTGGCAGTGGCTCATGTACCTGTTGTGGATCTCTCAATACATATCCTGATTGTCGTGACTGTCCCATTTGGGTATGATCAATATAAGACGAATTATGGGCCATGTTTCTATCGTCATTCACTGCTCTGATGTATACATATATATAGATACCAATGAAAACAAGAGCTGATATCAGTATGAAAACTCCACAAGCTAACTGTGCTTTCGTTAATGAGAGGAAGACATCTGTTAACTTGGTGTCACTGTCACTCGTATCTTGAACATTGTACCATGAGGAGCTGGAGCACGATGTAGAACCGGGGATTAATTGACCATCCTTAAGTTTACGATCAAAATCAATGAGTACAGCTGAAAAGATAAATGCAAGGATATTTTCTATCATCGTATGTGTTGCGCAACGAACAGATGATCGATTACAACAAGCTAAAATAGAATAAATTTTAAATAAATAAAGAAAACAAATTAAGAAAGATTAAAACATCTAAATCATGTTATAGATCAGTCAAGGAGATGAATTCAAAGATTGACAATTCTATTTCACATTAGAATTAACCGCGAATTTGATAGTTTTCGGAAAGAAAAACGCTCTGAATTGAATATTTACGACAAATACAACAATATTTGTCAATGATTGCCGAAATATTTGATTGAATATGTTTTTCGATTCTGATAATTTTTTCCTTCATCTAAGGAAAGCTCTCTTATTATGACGATTGGTATTAAAATCAAAATCTAGAGATAACATTCAATCAATAATAACATTGATTTACTTATCAAATACAGCTCTTTATGTCTTTTAATTTGCACATCTCAATAAAGAAATAAACATTTGTAAGAGAATGCTTTACACTATCAAACTTAAAAATGTTTTCCCTTTGTTTAGACTGCGTTTTCAGCTTTGCGCCTGAATTCATTTAAGAAAATTTCAACTTACGTCTAAATTCTAACGTTTTTATCTATAATTCCTACTTTAGAGATTCTCAGAATATGTAAACTCTTATATTAAACTATTATGAATTGAATTTGTTTTGGTTTATCATCCTCTTTAGTCACATTGTTGAATGTACAGAATTACTTCTATGAATGTGTCAGTCTAATTATTAGAATAAGAATTAATATATAAAATACTTACTGACGCAGAAGACCGATATCCAGCTTGTCAAAAAAAAGGCCCAGCAAACAAAGCCCATAACATACCATGCTGCATAATTACTGCAAAGGCTAACTATACCAATTAAAACAATGGCAACATGAAGTGCGACAGCAGCGAACGAAAAAAATGTTTGAACGACACCAATTACAGCAACGATACCCGTCGGCCAATAACGTTTCCAGCTTTGAGAACTTGGCCAACACGAATGATTCGACATTGTTTACTTGAAATAATATATGTAAATATTGACGAAAACAATCGTTTCAACAATATTATCTAAAAACTAATTAATAAAAAGGCACTTATTATTACCTAATCAAATATTTTCATCGTTGCACACTATATTATGTACAATGCTGATAGTTTCATATGTTGTAAGATAGATAAATAGTAATCATACACGGAATGTTCTTCTGGATATAAGTTTGCCATGATCAACAACAAGAAATAAAAAATTTTTGTTTGTAAAGAATGTTGCATGACTATTATTCATGTCTAGATCTCTACCCTTATTAATCTGCGAAAAATATAACTTTTATGAAAAAAAAAATCCAAACAGTCCAACAACGATGAAGAATGAAAACAGTCCCAAGAAAAATTTGGATTTATTTATAACATGCAGACAGATGAGTATCCATACGCATTTACACAATACCTACGGCATCAAAAAATTTATGCGGAGTGTGTTTATGCATAAAACTTTCAATTCAGAAATAATTTATTGTATGTGAACCAATTAATACAGCATCTATTTATTCTGCTCAACTTTCGAAGAAGAAAAAACTGAAGTAAAATATTTTCATGTTTACATAGTTTATGTTAGAAAGCAAGGATAAAGGAATTTTAAAGTGCGCAACAATTCAAAAAAAAAAATCTCTGTGAATGGTATATAAAACCAACATCAGATAAATAAATAAACTCAACTACTAACCCAAAGATAATATTTCTTCTCGCGGAATATTTTTTTTTCTCGACGGTATTTTGCGCCGATTCCAACATCACCGAATAAATTGATAATCAAAGAATGAGTCTAGATCAATCATGCTCGGGTCATATACATAAAATTTTCTCACAATTAATTAGTTTCTCACCAAATCAATTGGTTACCCTCTGAGTTAGTTATCGGAATTGATGTTAGTGTAAACGTTGCTTTCTTCTCTCTTCATACTGAAACCTACACTCTCTTATATGGATCTAATTATTCAACCTCAAATGCAACGTAGACATTACACCACTACTACAAGTTTTTTAGAAAAAATATTAAATACATCAAATCTTGTCGAGACACTCATTTTCGATAAACCAACCGATTCAATCGACTTAATTATCAACTGAAATATGAAAAATCTATTTCTCAATAGATTCCATGATATATGCTCCGGAGGTACTTGCTCTCCACGGGAAACATCAATTTTGTCGAATACAAAAATGTCGATCGCAAATTTGTCGATAAAATTTGTCGATTCGACAAAATTGGAATCCAGATTTGTCGAATTCGACAAATTT